AACTGAAGTACACTTCTATACTCTTTTGTTTTGTTTTTGTTTTTCTACTTTCCATGAACCGCAAAGAGCGCTACGAGCCAGCAGAGATAATTTATAACTCGGAGGGTTTCACGTGTGCTTCCGGTTTGGCAGAGCGACGTGGAGAGCGGAAAGTCACGAGACAAGGTATAAACAATGAATAGGGAGTATTCACTGGCGGCCATATCTGTGTGCGCTGCTGCTGAGCTCGTGCTGACGGCGAGCTTCTACACTTTCTTTGCCACGTGCATTCCGCACCATCAAGATTGCCGGTCTTAGCAGCCTATTGATGTGAGCTCGTTTTGAGCATGCGCTCACTGGACGCCATATTTGAGGGCGATGTTTAGAGCGCATGCTCAGAACGAGCTCACATCAATAGGATGCGAAGACCGGCAACCTTGATGGTGCTAAATGCAGGCTCCAAAGGGACTGCGGAAGCTCGCCGTCAGCACGCGCTCAGCAGCAGCGCACACGGGTATGGCCGCCAGTGAATACTCCCTATATAACTATTGCTATATTACCTAAGCGTCAAGGAGAATGCAGGAATTTGTGTTCCACGCGCCGCACGTTCTGGCCTCAGCAGTAGTAACCTTTCTAAAGCAAAAACCTAAAACAAATCGCATCTTGCACGCGCGTTCGTCCTCGCTTTATTTTGGTTATTTACTTCGAATCTTTTCTACGGGGAAGGCGTGCGCGTGTGGCACGTGGAACACCAATCCCTGCATCCTCCTTGATGCTTGGGGAATATAGCAAATGGGCTCGTGTAGGTCCATCGCAGTGAAACGGAATATATCTGCCTATGAATATAATGCAATTAAATGCAAAGGTGCAAGCGAGCTGGGGAAGAATGACGAAAATAATCCCTGGAGAAGGGGAACAAGAGGGACAAAGGAGAAACAGATATTGTGTTGGTCCTTTGTCCCTCTTGTTCCCTTTCTCCAGGGATTATTTTCGTCATATGCCATGCCGAAAGATTAAAGATCTATTCTTTGTGTGCAATTGTGCGCTTTCTTGCTGCTAAGCAATATTCCTCGAGGAACAACAAAGCGAACACAAACACCAAAATAAAAACAAAACGCTGAAGGCTGTCGGCGCTTTGTTCCGCTGTAGCGAGATCTGGTGGCGCCAAGAGGTGAAGCCACGACCAGCGCGACACTGCGGCGCTCGTCGCCGGTCGCCCAGTGCCCTGGACGCTGCTTGAAATTGTTTTTTTGTCCGTGCGTTTTAATCGTCCTTCCATTGGCCTTCGCTGTCTTTCTCCTCTTCAACTCAGCCGTTCGAGCAAGTTGTTCGGGCGTGCAGCGTGGGTAGTTTGCCGTTTCGCCCTGGATGAGAATCGTACCGGCGTGCGGTCGTGTATCACTACTGCGTGAGCTCGTAAGCAAGGGTTTTCCCAGGAATTGATACTATGGAAGGCGTGTAAACTTTTACGGGGAGGGGGTTGGGGGAGGGGGGGGGGAGGCATTGAGAATAGGAGTCGTTGCAAATTAAGGGGGTGGCTTCAGAAAAAAAAAGGGGGGAACGTAAACTCCCCCCCCCCCCTCCCCCCCTAGGGGGTGTGTAAGGAAATCACTGCCCGTAAAGACCCCAGGCTAGCAGTCCTATACTCCTCTAAATTATGATCTGGGTAACAATTCTCACTGGGCGTTCTGGCTGACTGACTTTACATGTGAGTACTGTACTTTCGTAGTTTGAAAGCACCCGCATAACCACGCAATTTTTAAAAAACGGTGTTTGCGTGTAAAAGTCAAGATCACTAAACGAAATTAAGCCTATATTTGTTTTGCTGTCCTGACTTCCGCAACACGGCTTTTTATGACGTATACTTTCTTTAAGTATAGATGACGCCGTCTTGAACTCGACTTACCTTTCAAACGATTGGGAGGTGTGGACATTTTTTTTTTCTTTTTAAGAACTGGTTTGAACTGGTTAGCGCTTGGTTGGAGCCGGTAACCGAACCGTTATTTCAAAGGAACAGCAGAGCGGAACCGGAACAAAATGCAAAGCTACTGAACCAGAACCCGAACCGAACCAGAATATTGACCGGTTCGACTCCCTACTTTTATGTTGTAACCTAGCTGATCTTCTAGTGTTTGAGTGAAACACAAATAAAGAATTGGAATGAATATGTTAAGAAATCGCAAGAATCGTACAGCAAACATAAAATTTACGTTGTAATGCAGGTTCCCTAATATTGTCACAGATGACAAGTGATGAGATGATAATGGCTGAAGAAACTAAACGTTTAATGGGGGCGAACTTGTGCTCAAAAATAAAAAGGAAACAGAAGATAACAGCAGAGCGTCACGGGCGTCGAAGTCGGCGAAAGGGAAGAGTCGAACGCTGGGGCGAAACTGACTCCGGCTTGCCACGCGGAGCCGCTTTTGTACACGCGTGGGCTTCTGGAACAATCGGCGTAGAAGGTTCGGCGTGTCAAACATTCTAACCTCGAATCAGCCCCCCCCCCACCCCCCCCCCCCCCCCCCACCACCACCCCTGGCCCAGAACCACGACGCCACAAGCCTTTTTTCGTTGCGATGAGTAGTTTTCGCAGGAGCGATTTGGCCCGAGTTCTCTGAAACACCCATATATATATTTATATATATACCGGGTGTTTTTGCGAAGACTTTCAAAAATCCTAAAAATTAGGGCGATTGAAAAAAGAAGAAACTCTCTTCGGGAACAAACTATTAGCCACGGCGGACGTCAGGAATTGCCAAAAACCTACTGATTAGCCAGATAATTAATTAAAACTTGTTAATTAACTTTTTAATTAGGGGAAATAGACATATGGTTCTAATTAGAAAGTTGCTGAGCGTTATCGAAAAGCACTAAATCAGTCATTTTCAGAAAGACTTTGAGCAAGTGAGACGAGTAGTAGCGCACTAAAGTTAGCACTCGTGGAGCAGGTACAAGGCTAGCGGTTCCGGTAAGGCGCCCGCGCGATTTTTCCGCCTCTTATCTAGCCCCAGCCTTGTACCTGCTCCACGAGTGGTAATGTTAGTGCGCTACTATTCTTCTCAAGCGCTTAAAGTCTTTCTGAAAATGACTGATTAAGTGGTTTTCGATAACGCTCAGCAACTTTGTAATTGGAACCATATGTCTATTTCCCCTAATTAAAAAGTTAATTAACAAGTCTTAATTAATTATCTGGCTAATTAGTAGGCTTTTGGCAATTCCGGACGTCCGCTGTGGCTGGTAGTTTGTTCCCGAAGAGAGTTTCTTCTTTTTTCAATCGCCCTAATTTTTAGGATTTTTGAGTCTTCGCAAAAACACCCGGTATATATCTATATATATATATATATATATATATATATATATATATATATATATATATATATATATAAGGAGTTTTCTTTAGCTTAAGAGATTTTTGCTTAAAGAAAGCCGTGAAAGGTACACCTACGCCGCTTGTGAAGGTGAGTTATACGGCCAGGGTGGGCATTATGAGGGTGGCTAATCTTTGCGATAAGTCGGATAATTACTTAATATTCGTTAATAAAGTTTTTAATTACTGAAAATAGACACATAGTTTCCATTCGAAACTTGCTGAGCGTCATCGAAAACCACTAATGGCTCCATAAATGAAACGAAACAAAAGGCATCAGTGAGAGCGCTGGCCAGTCGCGAATACCGACTAGAGCGATGCTTTCGGTCGCGCTCGTCGATACCAAAGACTCACAAACACATGGAGATGTGCCGGCAGCTGTAAGAGCGCGAACCCAAGACGCGGACTATTTTCGCTTCTTCGGGCCTAATCAGCGTCCCTTTTTGCCGCAGCGTTCATTCTTTCCGACGCCGCGCGTGTGACGGCGAGGTCGACAAAGGTGTCACCGTGAGGGCACGCATGCCGTGAACAGGCTGAAAGCGGAAGCGACAGCCCGACGTTTTCGGCGGAACTGCAGCGGCGCTGCGGGAGGCTGTCACGGTGTTGGCAATTAATACGACCTGGCGGTAGGGGGCGCACCCTGTCATCCCCGCACGTCGAGAGACATTCTAGGCCTAATTTCCTGTCAAGGTGTCACTCCCACCTATCGTTGTCTCTATACGTGTGTGCGTGTGCTTGGGCGGAGGTTTGTACCTGCGTGTGCGTGTGTGCGTGTATGTGCGTGTGTGCACGTGTGTAGGTGTGCATTTGCGTGCGCGGGTTTTTTGTGTATGCGTGCGTGCGTATGCACGCGCGTATGTCTGTGCGTAACTATGTACACTCTAAGAAATGCCACTTACCCGCAAAACACTCGAAGAGACAGTCTCTGCGAACTACGAAATCAGTTCAGCGAATGATGAGGCGGAACATCCCTTTAGATCTAAATATTAAGTTTGCGCTGTGGCATTACGCAATGCAAAGCGTTATTGTTGCATTGTGTAATGCCACAAAGCAAACTTAATTTTGAGGTCTATACAGATGTTCCGCCTCATCATTTGCTGAGCTGATTTCGTAGATCGCAGAGATTGGCTCTTCGAGTGTGTTACGGGTAAGTATAAACGCACAGATATTTCTTACAGTGTAGGTATGTATGTATTTGTGTGTACATGTGTGTACGTTTGTGTGGGAACATATGTATGTGTATGTGCTTGCGTGTTTGTGTGTACGCGTGTGTACATTATGTGTGGGTTAAAAAATGCGGGTGATGGTACGTTTATACAGCCTGCACTTAGTCTGCCTCAACGGGCGACTTGTCTCTCAGCTGCATACTTGGGTAGTAATTCAATTACAGTAATTGAATTACTGTAATTTAATTACTTTTCCTGGTAATTTGTAATTGCAATTAATTACTTTTAGCTAAAAGGAATTGTGATTGTAATTTAATTACTTTCTACAGTCAGTAATTGCAAAATTTCTGGCACAATTACAATTACTTTGCAAGATTTTATGGCGCCGGCGCTTTTACTGCAGCACAGCCAAAGCGACAGGGGACAGGATGTATCCCAACCTGCTCAAAAGGAGGGAAAGGAGGAATGGGAAAGAGAGGCTGGGAGAGAACGGATTGAAAGGTTTTGTAAACTGTAAAACGATTTAATGAAAAATTTTAGAAATAATTTGATAAATGAGGGCTACATTCATGTCGCTTTTCGTTCGGATCGCAGTCGAAATCTGCCCTTCGTCTCGTTCGCTTCCTGTTGCTCGTGTTCCTAGGAGTCTCTCTTATTTCTCATTACCATCAGGAGGCATCGGGGTTTGAAGTCGAGCTGGGTGGGCTCCAATCACATCATCCAGTCGAGGCGGGGAGGTTCGAGGTCCTCCTTACGCGTCTTCGTCTCTAGCATATTCGCTTACATATTTCAGTCAAGGTTGGGAATTTTATTGTCTATGAAAGTATTCTCTTTTCTTTACGAGTTCTTGACGTCCTTGTACCACTCACAGTAAGTTGTGCTACTCTAACATTGAGGCGAAGAAGCAGCAGGTCTCGTTAACACGACTCACCCCGCCTTACTTCCAACCGTTGTTGCAACACTGCTCTTCCCTCTGCCAATCCTCGGCTACCTTTCTGCATAAATTTTCGTTATTTACTGTTTGCTTCAACCCCTAACCCTTTCAACCGTTTCTGAAACTGATTGTAAGAGATTCCAAAACTTTACAAACCGCGGTTTTAGACTGTCAAGAGCGTGTTTTAATATAATATAAGAATATAATAAAAAATTATTTTTATTCATTGAGAATATAAGAAGGCAGAAGTTCACTACTCCAAACTGTTAAGTTCTATGATTCATTTAACAAATTTAATAAAAGAAAGGTGCAATACGTGACATTTATGCAGCGGCCATATAACTCGTTTAAAGTTATATGGCCCAAGGTGGGTAGCTCTCAGAAATAAATGATGGTAAAGTAATTGCATTACTCTTTATAAGTAATTTGTAATTGTAATGAATTATTTTCGCGTAGTAGTAATTGTAATTGTAGTTGAACTACTTTTTGAGCAAAATAATTGTAATGGTAATTAAATTACATTTTGAAAGTAATTTACCCATGAGTCAGCTGTAGATGAGAAATTTAGCCAGTGCAGTACAACCGCTAGCCCGGGGTGTTTAACGTGCACCACGCAGAATTTATTTATTTATTTATTTCACCCTCAAAGCCGGAGCATTATATAGGAGAAGGGCCTTACAAACACAATATAAGAATAAAGACAAGCACACTATAATCAACACAAAATATTAAACATGAAAGGAATATTGAATTTTGATACGAAAAATGTACACCATTACTAACAGCGTCGCCAAAGCTGTTAGTAATGTAAAGTTATACACAACCACATGCCGGTACCATGCTCATCAAAAAGGGCGGGGGTGGGGATTGAACACTAAAGTCCCTTCATGTTTCAAAAGTAGCGTAAGGTGCATCGATGCACGAGGCACGTGCAACGTGCATCCCTTGGGAAAATCATGGCGGCACAGAGCAGCACTGAGCTACACTGTAACTGAGCTAACTGAGCTAGATTTCAGACGCCATGTTCTTCCCAGAAGATGCGCGCGGCACGTGCCTCGAGCATTTCTACAACAATGAATGGCCCACTTTTTGAACACAGGATGCCTGAATTCGGCAGCGCGAGCTTTCGCTCCACGTGCACCGAGCTGGTGTACGCTAGCCCACTCAGCGACTGATCTCCTTTTTTATTTATTTATTGCATGGAATTATCAGCAAGACACCAGTCAAAACTACAACATGGTAAGGTTACCACGTCACATTTCCTATTGCATATAATCTCTTATCTAATACTCTCAGAGACTCGCCGTAAATAGGCAGAAGGTATACAGAAAAGGATATTAAATAAAAACAAAATGCACACACTAAAAGTTAGGTAGATGGACTCATGCATCGACCAAAAAGAACGTACTACTCTGGCCGCTCGTCAAGATAATTAAATACATTTTGTACGCGGGTCAAAGTTTCAATAATATTTGAATTGGTAGATCGGAGAGGGTCAGCGTTCTTGTTAATAATTTTTGTTTTCCAGAGGCTATGCAACCCCATAAATGTGCACAGATCGTAAGGAAAACTATCGTTCAATTTTAAAAGCGAAAATCGGAGTCTGTAAACATTAATATCCAAGTCTTTTTTTTTTTTTTTCAGTGTCTTTTGTAGGACATCTCAGAAAAGGTAAGCACCTGAGCAGAAAATAAAGCAATGCTTTATAGTTTCCGGTTGGGTACAAATGCAGGAATTGATGGACTACGGCACAAAAAATCCGCGTTCACGGAGCCAAGGTTTTGCAGGTAACGTAGAGGTATGGAGCTTAAAGAAGAATGACTTTGCTGTAGGAATGACATGTAGTTTTCGGACACGTCCGAGAGCATCTTTTCCTTATGCTTCGGTACAAAGGTTCCGGAAACGTTATGTCAATTAGATCAGCATATCAGACTTTGAGTGAAACACTAAATAAATACTCTAAAGAAAAACGAGCTGTTAGAAACTCAATCGCGCTCACTACTTCTTTGAGGTACCCCAAAAGACGCGATGTGCTTGCGGATGTTGTCGTAACCACCAAATAAGTAATGCACTCGAGAGTTCCGTCTTTAAGTAAGTACGAAGAAAATGATCAGATGCAGTTCTGAAGAATAAAAACCGAGATATTACTTTCTTTAGAAAGATGTGTATGAGACCGGGACCACCGGCATCGATAGGGCGAAAAAGGTTATCACGTCGTGTAGGTTCCCAGGTGGAACTCCATATGAAAGTAGCAAACACTCTGTGGAATTTCGGAATATAGCTTATGGTACAGCAAATCACTTGAACTATGTACCAAAGTTTGGCTCCGAGAAACATATTACAGGCCTTAGGCTCGCACGAAAACTGACCACTGGTTGGATTTCATTTTGCCAGCTTTGACATATGATTTTTGACACCTGCTCAGTCTAGTAATGACCACTGTTGCCAATACAGTTAAGAGCAACTCCTAAGTACTGAAGAGCAATGTAGCTCCACGATATTTCAGCATATATACTCTGAAGGTGTTGCGGCCCATTGCCCACACCAGAAACCTACGCTTTTGTCCTCATAATCTAGTCCGCCAGTTGCGTCACAGAACTTTTGTGTTACTGTAAGGACATTGTCGACGCTGCGTTTATTGGCACATTGAAAAAAAAAGCTATATCATCTGCATATTCCAATACTTTAACTTCAAAAGAGTAGAAACGGAAACCTCCGACGATAGGACTGTTAAGTATACACTCCCGTGTGTTCGTATGTCCATGCTTGTCTGTGAACAAGTGTGTGTGCGTGTGTGCGCGTATGTTTGTGTGTGTGTGTGCTTACATGTATGTTAGCGTGTGTCCATGCTTGCGTGTGTGTGTGCGCGCGCGCGATAAAGAGAGAGACTGCATTTCTCTATCTAAGTGTTTGACACCATATGTTTGGGACTGAAAATCGGACATGTGACATTGATTGGCCGTGCGCTTAGTAATGACCCCCGCAACGAAGTGCGTTTTATATTTTCCTGTATTTATTCTCAGAATTCTCGAAAGTCGCTAAGTATATGCTGCATTATAAGGCAACCAAAAACCGATCATTCGACGTTCTTTAAAATGTTCTACAAATCAATTGGGCGGTCTGTATCGTGCGCCATAAATCGTGCGATTTGAGGTAGTATGAGGAGTGCCATCTTTTTTTTTTTTTTACGGCGAATGCTTAGCCATTAGACTATAGTACCAATAACACTTTTTATTAGCCAAACTGACTCATTGAAGGCCAAGGATCAATGTTCCGAGTGCTTCACGGAGCAGTATACACGGATGAGCTTCTGAGGATCAATGAGTCAGTTCACGCTGACTTCCCCACACTCTAGAAATGTCTGCTGTACGGCTCGGCCAATCCCTGAGACCTACGAAGCACGTTCACCGAATGAGGAGGCGCGGGGAACCGTTTGACTCGAAAATGCCAAGGACGCAGGATAATCTGTATTGCTTACCTGTGCCCCTGTTGCAATTTCACATGCGATTTTGCAGTTGCTACGTCGCTCGCGCGGCACGAAAAAAGTTTCGGAAGCTGTGGTGCTCGACGTCGCAGCTGCAAAATCGCAAGCAAAACCGTACCATATTAATCAGCTTTATTGGTCACGCACTTTGCGGGTAAAATCGATTATTTTTGTTGTTTTGGCATTGTCATTCTTTGACCGAGCTCCAACGATCGGGTAATTGGTCTACCATGTTAGCTTCAATATATGTAAGATATAATGAGCAATGAAAACCTGATCTTCAGTGGAGGGTTTTCCTCTCCTTCAATTTTCTGCTCTACGAGTATTTATGACCATAGCAGCTATATATTACACCCTTGATCTTACTCAAACTACAAGGAAGATAAACGAGCTAAATGAACTGCAGTTTGCGTTGATGATGGTAAGTTACAAAGCTGAAAGAGACGCAGCTGTCCTGTAATTCGCCCATCATGTGTAATACTTCTTCACAACTTAAAATGAATCACGTCGCTCCCATACAGCCTCCATTAAAGAAGGGGAACCTTGCGAAACTGCTGCCGAAACACCCTTCGTTACAAATAAAAAATGAAATCCGTTTACAACTTCCTGTAACGCCGAATTAGAGCGCAGCTCTTGAGGAGGAGGAGGGTAAGGTACGGAAAGGAGGCTATGCCCCTCCTCCTCTCCTGCTCAACTCCCATTTAGGAAAAAATGTTCCGCTAAATTTAGCGGGGAAATTTTTTTGCTAGACCTAGCGGGGAAGTTTTTCCGCTAGATTTAGCGGGGAAATTTACCCATAATGCACCGCGCGGTTACGCCGACGCCGTTCAAGCCGGAAACGGGCGCCTAAGAGCTGCGCTCTAAAACAAAATACCGTCGTGCATCCTAATTGGCAACAGACACATTAGAAAGGACGAAACCGAACACGTGGACGTAACCTGAGGAGAACGAGAACCCGATGCGCAAACCTTCATTGAGACTCTAATCGAGAGAACTCGTTGGATGGCGCACCGCCGCCCACTTAATGGCCGAATGGGCCCCGGGGATTAGGCGACGGGACGCTAATCCAGCGATAATCCCGGC